CATGAGCCCTTGATAGTTTATAAATGGGTATTTTGTCATATCTTGCCCTGTCCGACGTCTCCCTTCATCATATTTGGTCTTTATGGGGCATTTGTTTAATGAATATATTCATTGAATGCATGGGGAGAAAATAACCCCAAACCCACTGCCTTTGAGTGTATTTCCCACTCAGTGATCCTACATAGGGTTTCTGAGGCCATAATCTTTAGGGGAGCAGGTTACCTCACCTTTCTCCAGAGGAGCAGCTGGTGAATTTGAACTATTGACCTTGGCCTTGCAGTTAGCAATCCACTGCTTACACAAACAGCACCACGAGGTCCTTGGAATGAATATCCAGACTCTCAAACTTAGTGCCATTGAGTCGATTATCGCTCACAGTAACTCTGGAGGACAGGGTAGAATGGCCTCTGGGTTTCTGAGACTCCTCTAACTGTTTATGGAGTACTGAAAGCCCCATCTTTCTCCCTTGGAATGGCTGGTGGTTTCTAACTGCTGACCTTGGGGTTAGCAGCCCAATATGTAACCACTACTCCACCAGGGTTCCCACTTTAAAGTTGTTATTTGTTTCTTCATTTCTTCTGGGTCACATTGGCAAAAGATTTGGGCGTGGTGGAAGTATGGACTAGCTACAGGAAGCTGACTTGATCTAAAGAAATGAGGAAGCAGCCCAACTTAAACTACCACAACTCACAGAACCTGGCTGTTTTTCTCATGCACCTTCGTATTCAAGGAGTCATTCTTAAAAGAACAGTACAATAAATGTGCACTTTAGTTGTATCAAGAATTATGCATAATAGAGTGGTTTTTTGGTTTTGTTTTGTTTTGTTTTTGAGCAGTGCTTAAGCACTTGTCTGCTAACTGAAAGGTAGATGGTTTGAACTTAGCAAATGGTGCTGAGGAGAAAGATGTGGCAGCCTGGTTCCTAAAAATTTAGTCTTGGAAACCCTATGCGACAGAGCTGCTTTGTCCTAGAGGAGCGATGTGACTGGGCCGTGTTTTTTTTTGGTTTAAAGCATGTCATAATTTTATAAAGAGTTTTATCAAAACTGGCTACAATAATATTGTTTAATAGTCAGTGATAGTAGACCCAGGCAGATATTTCAAAAATGGCACGACCTTCAATCCTGGCTTATCACTATTCAGGGTCAGTGGTTTAGAAATTTAGAAGCCTTGAGTTGATTTATGTGGTTAAAGTGTTTGTACATGGTTCTTTAAATCATTGGATGCTACCTTTTAAGGCATTATTATTTTAGCTTTCCTACCATTCAATTTTTCTTAACTTTTAGGTATCAAGAAAGTAATACTTTCTTTCAAATATTGTATAATGAGTTATTTTAACGTGAAAGAAAAATAATTGACATATATATTCTGTGGGTTTCATTTATGTAGCTTTAATAATGTCACTTCCAAGAGATCTTCATAGGCTCTAGTCTAAGCTAGTTTGTGATGGTGAGTTATCATGTTATTTAAGTATAGAAAGATTCCTTTGGATATGATACTCAAGTAGTGAGGTTTAATATTTTAAAATATAACCTTCCCTGTTCCCCGACTCCTACCCTGGTAGTTGAATTCGTTGAAAGGAAGAGGGAATATGTCTTTTTCCCTCAAAGGAAGAGGGAATATGTCTTTTTCCCTCACTTGGTTTACCTACTCATCATATTACATATGTCTTCGAAATACACCCTCTCACAATCACCCTCACTACTCTTAGCTTGGTTTAGTTGTTCTTGGTGCTTCGAGCTCCTGGTACTCCTGTGTGTGCAGACCAGAACTGCCCCATATTGCTTTCAAGTCTTTGACTTTCTGGAAGCAGGTCACCAGGCCTGTCTTCCAACGTGCCCCTGGATGGGTCCAAACCAACAACCTTTGGGCTAGTTGTGTGCCTAACTGTTGTACAACCTGGGAGCATCCATCTTGAGTCAGGATATCATTTACCTGAATTACTGCATTTCTCTTTTATGTGGAACTTTCTGTCATTTTCTATCAGTGGGCTTTCTAGTAAATATCAGATCAGTTATTTTGTGCTTAAAAGTCTCACTTTCTCCAAAGGTTTTGGGACACACAAGGCTTTTCTTAGTAGTACCTACCTCTAGTTTCCTTCCCAGGCATAAACTCCACCACTATCATTGCCAGCAGTTGGCAGACATCGTTCCACTTGCTTGATTTCTGTTATTGTCAAGGTCCTATGGTAATTGTGGTTCTTAGGTGGTAAGTTCTTTTGGCTCTTAAAGAGATTAAACAACAACAGAACCCTGTGTGTTTTCACTATGATATAAGCAAATGTATTTATTCTGTTTGGGATAATTTGACCTTTGAGTCTCCATGTCATTTTTAACCTGCCCAAGTGAATTGTGTAAGCCACTGTAACTGAATACATAAAATAGAATATTCATCTATGAATAACTCATGCAACTACAACCCAATAAATGATATCTTCAATAAAATGATGTAGAATAAGATGCAATGGTTTAGAAAGGTGCTTACAATATAATAAGTTTTAAAAAAAA